CCCCCCCCCCCCGTCCCCCCCCGCGCCCGCCGCTGCCTTTTGTAGTGCCAGAGCGGGGCGGGTCGGGCTGGGACACCCCCGGAAACCGCCCGGCTCCGCCCGGGGCCAGCGGCGTCGCAGGGAAGGTCTGGAAGCACCAAGCGTGACCGCAGGGTTATAAAACTGATTTCCTCCCGTAACGTGATCTGTTGTGGGGGTGCGTTTCCATAGGTGGGGAGGTTTTCGTACTGGGCTCTCTTACGTGTGAATATGAGGTCTTGCAGGCCAGAAGTGCTCCTGCAAAACGAGCTATCGTACCTTTTGTGCGTTTTAACTAGGGGGAAAAAAACACCAGGAGATTTTCTGAGGGTTTGTAGTGCTGCCTTGAAAGATGCGCTCTTTGTTTGCAGCTAGTTCGATTCGGGGTGCCAACAGAAGGGGAGTCAACAGATTGCACAAGGTGTAGAGCTCTGTCATCTGCTCCGCTTTTTCCACTGTTGGTATTTTTTTCCACTTTTTTGTAACTGCCAGTGACTGGAAGTCTTGCGGCAGCCCAGAGGCTTCCCTGCCCAGTCCTGGGGGGCTGGAAAACCCCAAGGTTGTTTGTGCTCCCTTTCTAGTCTTACCAGGCACTTTCCTGCCCTGGCAGGTTCTGGGAATTGCCCCGAAGTCATCCATTCTTCAGACAGATCCGAACTTGCTTTAGTAGAAGAAACAGGAAATTAAGAGCATTTTGGACATGTCAGGAGAGATTCTTGCTCCTGCTTTCAACGTGGGGTGACCCCCTGTAGAACAGCCATTTCTCCCCGACGATCCTTCCTTCCTGCATCTAAATACAGCTGCGCTGCTCTTGAAACTCAGCCTGTGGTTCCCTCTTTGGGAAGATGCAGCAGCTATATTCTAGCACAGGGCCCATCAAACCGCGTCTCTTCGGCTGGCTGTGAGACTAAAACACGATTGGAAGTGACAAAGTGAAAAAGAGTATTTTTTGGTACAAGAGTGGTTATTCTACCGACACGCTGTGCTGGCATTATTCTAACATTTGTTTCATCCAGCACGCGTTCTGTGTATTCATTTATTCTCCTTTCTTTTTGAAGGCAACCTCTTATTTTGGGGATTGCGGAGGAAGAGCAGCACGCGAGAAAAGACTGTCTGAGTGAGTAGGGAAGGTACACACAACGCGGCTGAGAGCAGAACCAAGGCAGGGTCGTGGTTCCCCACAAAGACTCAATAAAGAGATTTCATTCCTGAAACAGGTCGTCTTCCACTTGTTCACTGTCTCTCTGCAGGGGATATTTTTTTGTGCTGGAAATGTAATTTAAGGGAGGAGAGCTGAACCTGTGCAAGACCTGCTCAAATCCAGAGAGGATGAGCACCAGCCTTCAGGAGACCAGACCTCAAAGGGGCTTCTTTTATTAAGGCGGGCTTAGATTTGGGTGCTGGATGAAAACTGTAAGTCATATCCATATAGCTATACAAATAAGATATTTATGAGCAGGAAATGCACTTGTCTGCCTCCGCGCAGGGAGAGGGAATAATACCTCACATTTCTTTACCACTTGAGAAAATCTTTCTGAGACTGATCGTCTCATTTCACCCCTTCAGCCAAGTGAAACTTCCCAGGGACTGTCTCACCTTGCACTGAGCCACGGACTCTTCTCAGCCCTGTCTATCAGCTGCGCAGATGTCTTACATAAATATTCTCTCTGCTTTTTGATCTGGTTTTGCAGCTAATTAATAATTTCTGAGTTTAAGTAACGATTAAAAATCAGCTCTAGAATGAATCCCTATTGTCTGAAGTCTAACGGCTGCAATATTCGAGCGATGTCTTTGAGTGGAAATGCAAAGACGTAGCAATAATGATGTGACTCTTATCTTCTGTAGAAAACCCTGATTTCATTTTCTGATATTCAATCAGCAGGTCTCGGCAAGAAGCGAGCGCTTCCATTCTTACACCGGTTTGGGTTGTGTAGGAGGAGCCCGCAAGTCGGTTCTAAGCATTCCTGTGCAGGTGAGTTGGGGGGGTTGTCAAGTGCTTGTTGCTGATGTTTGTTCTTTCTGCGTGGATAAATCCTGTGCTTCGGGACCTAAGCCAGCTCATTCTTTGAACTCTTCTTATAGAAATAAATATCTTATCCTTATCTAAGCGGCATGTTTCACTTTCCCGAATCTACTTTCCTTTGATGTAATTCCCTTTGACTAATTGCAGATGATATCGGTACCATTGTTGCAAATTTGCTGTCTGCCACGCACATTATTTTCCACGTCGCTGATTCTTAAATGAGCACGGAAGCAACTGTACCTCTCAGGCTGAGAAGCAAACCTGCATGATATCTCAGGCATAAATCTAAGCAGAGCAGCACAGAAACCTGCAGCCCTCCAGTGCTGCTTTCTGCTTTCCGCGTACCAGAAGAAGCTTGTTTTTCCCCGTTTTTGGTACTGACGGGTTCCTGCGCCTCAGGGCTTGTCTGGGAGAGGGTCAAAGCAGCAAGTTACTCTCAATTGCACATTTTAGATTCAAATATGTTAGAACATAACTTTATGTTGGAAGTAATTATTTCTAGCAGTATCAACTCGTGGTCTGTCGTGCCCTGTGGGGTTTTTTGCGTGCCTCTTCCCTGCTCCCCTCGCCCCCGCCTCGGTGGTTGTCTCCCAAATCAGCTGTTGGTCGGGGAGAGAGGGCAGAAGAGAAAAGCATGTTCTTTATCTCTGGGTTTGTATGCTGCGGGTAGTTCGGACACAGGGTAGGAACGTCTGTGGGCATGGTGCTTCCTGTGCAAGGGGAAGTAGAGGCTGAGGAATATGGAGAAACGGGTACAGATTTCATGGGTTTGGCAACAGCATAGTTGCTTATAAAACGGTAAAAGTTGGCATTAGCGGCGCACCGAGGTGCTGTGGCTGCTTAGTCAGAGAGGTTGTGCTTCCCCATCGCGGTGGGGACTTCCCTCCTCTGCGGGGAAGCGGAATTCTTTCCATTCTGCAAAATAACTATTCTTATCTAATTACCACAACTGAGGGGGGGTGCAGGAAGGTTTAGCGTGTTGTGGTTTTTCTTGCCTTTAATACGACCTAGCCCGATGGGTGCTGAGGAAGTCTGACGCCGTCCCAACCACTGCCGCCTGTCTGCGTTCTGCAGCGGGGCACCGTGGCGCATACGTCTACCTCAAACCTGGGGCTTGAGCTCTCGCTGCTTGAGAGCTCGGCACGGCACGACGGCTGCGTCTATACTGCCTTTCCTAAGAGCAGCTAAAGAGATACGGGGCAGCCTCGATTCAAAATAAAACAGTTGCAAGGGACTGCACAAATCTAATACTTTCACCTACTGCCAGAGCCTTATGAGAGGATTCAGCCAGCCCATTGCAACGACAGATTAAGTTAGCTAAGGCTGAACACGTTTTTGTTTTTTCTTACTGTACGTTGACTTGGAATACATCTTTGCTGCTCTGGACCTGAGCGAGTGACACCTCTGGCTTAATCCCAGAGCCGGGATGAAGGCAGCTAAGGGGTAACAGCGCAGCTGGAGGAGCTGCTGCTGAAGCTCATCGGAAGCTGGGGAGTAGATAGCGAGGTGGGGAGCCCCTCCTAAAGCTTGGCAGATTGCGCAACAAGTTGCTTGCGTGTGGCCAAAGACAAACTTTGGTCAATGTGGGGCCTAGATTCGTACCAGACGCTTAATGAGAAGATGGGGCCAGTTGAGTGTTCAGGCAAGTAAAAGAACTTTAGGGAAACTAAGTTAAAGATCTAAAGTCAGGAGAACAGTGCTTTTAATGTCTTCTCTTTTCGAAAAGCTACTGGCTAAAGAAAGGATTAAAACTTAAGTAACTTTT